TGACACCTAAATATTTACCTAACGGCTTTTGCCTCTACACGTTTGTTTCTGTAGAACTTGCTATCTGTATGCATGGATTGGAGGTTTAATGAAAAAAATAGAAGATCCTGTATTTTTACTTTCATTCTCCATTCTGATTAAAGTTTGCTTTTCTTTCTGTTGTGTTCTTCCTGGGGTTACTTTGTTTTGCTAGTCTTGAAGATTGCAGACAGCCACATGTTTTTTCCACATTCACCTATCCATTGCCCTTTGATTGTGTTTTGATATTGTTTTCCATAGTGTAATTTCCCATTATTGTTACACAATAAACATCTCTTGCATGCTGCTTTGTGTAGAGGTTGAGACTATTAACCCAAATAATCCTGGAATGCTCTCCAAGCTCATAGTCAGTGACAACTATATCAGGGCAGGAATCGCCTATTTGGAAATTCTAGAGATATACACAGATAGTATCACTTGCTGCCCAAGGCAAATTTCCAGTACCCTTATGTGGAAGCCAGAGGTTGAGCAAAGATCCTAGTCGGACTGCTTTTTATCCAGATCTCAGACAAAAAATTTAAACTCAGCATTTTAAACGCCAGGAGTAGAGAGGCCTGTATTATGAAATGGGACTTCCAACCTTGATTTTGCAGGGTTACATGAGACACTTCAGAAGTGTTGAACAAATGCTAAACAGCAGGTTATTTCATGGACTCACCGTGTGCTGATGATCAGGGATTTCAGGAGGGTGCTCCCCTGTAACCAGCCTCCACGCCCCCGAGCAAGGGCACTCCGGCAGCGGCCTCCCCAGGTTCTCTCTCACTGCGGCCCTTCCTTCTCTGCCCAGAAGTCAGACCTCGCCGTGCTGTAACCATCGTGTGACCCGTCATATAGCAGAAGAATACCATCCTGTTCAAGGAGTCCAGTGCTTTATTTCATTCAGAGGCTGCTTAGGAGAAATTTTCCTATCACGTAATTACTGGGAAATGCTCATCTTTGGACTTGCCTGCGTGTCCTCTAGGACATTCTTTCCCAACCACCTGTCCTGTAGTATAGAACAACCGCTCTGGGGACAGGACTGGTACCCACACATACTTCCTAGCCAGTGTTACAGAACAGAAAGTTCACCTGCCCGGCGCTGGCAGAGCCAAATGCTGGACACCGAGACGTGCGGGGGAGAAATATTGCCTATTTCATTATGAATGGCACCACCCAGGAGAACTGGAAGCTACTGCTCAAAAGCCTGAACTCCCTGGTGAATGTAACTTACAGATATATAGGGCAAAATCACAAGAAGCCGTAGGTTAGGGTTTGGGGTGTTGTTGGGAGCTCGTTGACTGGAGGTGAGTTCAGAATGTTGAATAACTTTTTCAGGTCTTTTTCAGCTCTGAGGTCTGTTTTGATGTCCCTCTGTCTGGTTTTATGAGATAGTATCTAGGAGGCCATTCCACCTTAACACTCAGGAACGAAAACATGCCTAGGTTAAGATGTTATTTTTAGCCTGCAAAGGGTGGGGGTTAGGGGTGGAGAGGAGGGAGAGAGATAATTTCTAGAGCTAGGATTTAAAACTAAATTTAATCAAAGTCATAGGGACCCTTGGTTTTACCAATAGCAAAAAAAAAAACCAAAAAAACATTTTTTTTCCTGTCCTCAAACTCACAACTCTAGCTTGAAAGCACTGGGAAGAGTGATTTTGCTGCTTGCATTTTTTATCCTGATTTGGTTAAGGCAGATCCTGCCCTTTTCAGCTCTTTTGTTGAAGTAGCTGCCCACAGTGAAAAAGAGGATAGAAGCCAGCTGAGAAGAGGGAGGCCTGGAAAACATCACTTGAGTAAATCACATGTGACCTCCTTTCCTATTCTCCTCTGCACTGCGTGGCTAAGCTCTTAATTCTCAGATCCCCCCTTGCTCAGACCAGGCATTTGTCCTCTTTATGCCAAGTGTGAAACAAATGTCAATGCCAACAGCCACTGTTTTGCTTTATTTTGATGTAATGACAAATGCACATAGGTAGGCTTTTTAACCACGGTAGCCTTTAACTTTTAGTACAGTGTTAGGTCACCAGAAGTGAGTACATGAAGACTAGATTGGAGCAATTGGACCAGAGAGAGCAATAGGTGGGAATGGATGCAATGTCTAATAGACTCCAAACTGTAATTAGAAATTTGCTTGATATTTTTTCCAAGAAGGAAGAAGTATCAGCAGCTAGAGAGACTGTTGACTCCTTGGCATTGAAGACATTTGTCTAAGACCTTCAGGGTAACAGTTAGTAAGTTACCTTGATGAGGATAAGAATTGATACATTTCCCAGTTGGAAAGTCAGTAACCATGCATAAGCTCTGATCTCCAAAATGATTTTACCTGATATATTTTAAGCCTTCTCTTCAAGTATTTTTTAAATTTAAGCCACTAAACAGGAGGAGTTGGGTTCTGGGGCCTTTGTATTTTCATCTTGGTGCTATTTGACTTGTTGGAAAAAACTAAAGGCTAAATTTTAAGTAGACTCCAAGAGAAGGTATAGAAGCCAGGACTTGAATAATCTGTCTCTGAATAATCAGTCACTTAAAGAAGACTTTATTTACCCTGAGAAATTATTAAAATTTTACTTCATATAAAGCAAACACTTCAGGAGAGGTTCTCTTCTTCTCCTCCTCCTCCTCCTCCTTTCTTCTTCTCCTTTCTTCCTCCTCTTCCTCCTTTCTTTTCCTTCTTCTCCTTTTTTCCCCCTCCCCCTCTTCCCCCTCCCCCTCTTCCCCCTCCCCCTCCTCCCCCTCCTTCCCCCCCTCTTTTTTTTGGTCATTTCAATCCTGTTGGGTGGGTTAGTTAGGCCTGTAGTAGAACTTACTACTGAAAAATCCAGCTTTTTTTTTTTTTTTTGACAGCATATTTCTGTTCCTAAACCAGTCTTCTTTATTTAGGCCAGTGCCCTTGTTTGTTGCATATTCTTTCCAGCCCAGCATTTAGTTTCTCTCTTCTTCCCTCCCAATTGTTGAGTAGAATGTCTTCTGCCAAGAAATGGGAAACCTGGATTTCACAGCAGTAGAAAATTAGCACCCTCTTCCCTGGCATTGCATTCTAATAATACTGTATCGGACTTTGAACTAGTTATTTCTCACAGGCGACTATTGCCAAGTCCTAGGGGTTTTCTACCAAACAAAGGGCCGTGGTCTCCTATTACATAAAGAAAGACCTGTGTGCAGACCAGGTTACCTGGGACCGAGCTGCCGACCAGTGGTGGGGTCAATGGCCATGCCGGGAAGAATGCCTGGAGTCTTGTGCAAATGTGGTTCTCAGTCCAGGGCAAATCCTTCAGAACCTAACTTCAGTGAGCTCCTGCTGGATGCTACCGAAAGCAACATGACTTGTGCAATGGAGAACCACCTGCTTCTGTGCACTTTACAGACGTCTGTAGCAATGATCAGGTTTTCGTGACTGTAATCCACCCTACTTCACCCCCTCTTTGCCATTCTGAGAAACGATTCTCTCTTTTTTTTTTTTTCCCTCGACCTAAAATTTTCCTCTCACAGATGTCCTGGTTGTCACCCATGGTAGCATCTTCATTGAAAGGGAGAGAAATCGAATGGGGCCTCAAGGACTCTTATGACTGAAATGAAAGACAGAGCTTAACATTTTTGTATAGCGTTAAATACTCTTAAAGTTTATTGATTTTAAGTAGCTGAAATTACAAATAAGAGAGTGGGATAGTAGCCTAAGACACTAGTGATGTGTCTGTTTTCCTGGCCCTTCAGTGCCCTGGCAGGAAAAGGTCTCAAGGCAGTCACACTGTTTGGTTGAATGAGGCTGAGGTGAAGGTGCTTTGGGGTGGGTTCCATCAGCAGCCGCCTGTGTTCTGCCGAGAAAGAGCCTGCCAAATGGGAGGAGCTTCGAATACTAATAAACCTTCACCTGCTCCCTGGTGGAAAAGAGGAAAGGAAGCACAAATGTCAGGTCGAATATGTTTAGCAAAAAACACATCACAGAAGTGTGAAGAAAAGGAGGAAGTGTTGATGAAATGAGGTGATTTTTGTACTAATTGATGCTGAATGCAGAGGAGAATTAATCACATTTAATGATTAAGTGGTTCTACCAAATAAATGCAAAATGCAGGCTCCCCAGGAGTTTCTAATTTAAAAAACTGAAAAATTAAAAACTATTACTTAGTTAAAAGCAGTCTGATTCTTAAACAACAAAATTAATGTAAGCATTCAGAGAAGCTCTGTGAGAACACAAATTCAACTTTTTTAAGGAAACTGTTCAATCCATTTGTAAAAGAGACTGTTTTCAATTGTATTAGGTCTGTGTTTTGCCCTGTTTTTAAACCCATAAGGCTTTTAAGATCTAAATTAAAAGGTCATTTATTTTGTTGTTGTTGGCTGGTTTTTTGTTTTGTTTTCTTTTGTTTTGTTTTTCCTGAGGAGTGACAGAGTATCTTTTGTGGATTTGGGAACAAATAACCAAAGACTGTTGTAGCTTTTGTGTATATTGAAGCACTTACATACTTTTTTAATTGAATTTATTAATGTTATAAAATGATACCTTCTATAAAGTGGTAAGGTCAAGAGAGGTCAGGAAAAATGATGGAAAAGTTAAAAGATAGGACACAAGGAGGATGAGATTTTCATCGAAAGTGCCTTGTCTTAGATTTTTCTTCTCATTAAACAAACTTTAGTCCTTCAGATAAGCATCTCTGGTTACTGTGTTTATTTACAAACTTGATACTCCTTTTCCTGTTTGAAGTGGGAATAATTCCGAGATGAGTGTGTTAGGTACACAATACTGATATTTTCCAATGCACTTGTAGAATAATGCTAAACTGCTCAATTCAAGGACTTCCTTTCACCAAGAATAACCTCTGCTTGTGAAGATCATGGCGACCATGACCTTGTCAAATAGCTAGAAATGGATGTATTTTTCTTTCTCTATAAAAATGTCAGTGTGCTCATTAAAGCTAGAAAATAAACATGTATAAATTAGCATTTTTTCAAAAATTTATATTAAAATTTGTTTTTTATTCCACACAGGAAGACTTTAATGGAAAATCTGACTCACTCTTTTTTAATGATGGCCAGCGAAGAATTGACTTTGTATTAGTGTATGAAGATGAAAGTAAAAAAGAGAACAGTAAAAAAGGTTCAAATGAGAAACAAAGGGTAAGTTCTTTTATGCTATTTCCTTTCCTTTTATTCCTGATAATATTGTGAAATGACAAAGTACTATTTTTTATGTAAACAATAAACTGAAACTGGTGCTTAAAAGATCATTCACCATACATACCTTCATATCCTATGCTTATCGTTCCCTCAAGGCATGTTAAAAATTGTTTATTTTTAATTTGAAATAGAAGCTTTCACAGGCTCTTAACGTCAGTTGGTTTCACAGCTGAAGGCAGACTTTCTGTGGAATTATGCTTTCCCTTTGTAGGAAAGATTTTTATTAAAAGCACACTTGGCTATTTGCAATCAGGTGGGAAAAGATGCTAACAGCTAACAATGACGGCAAGTATAATATTGACTGGCATTCAGTGTGTACTCTTTCACAAATAGTACATGCCTTTTGCATGTATTTTTCTCACTTAATTCTCATAACCTGTGAAGTGCATTCCATTACCCTACCATCACTGATGAGAGAGTTGACCCTTAGGTTAAATGATTGGCTAAAGTCACAAACTCAAGTATACGAAATAGTAGAGGCAAGGTTCAAAATCTTATCTTGAATCTAGAACTTGTGCTCTTGACCTCACCCATTTTCTGTTACTTCCTTTCCTTTCCTTTCATCCTTTGTCGTTGCTGCTTCTTCCTCCCTTTCTCCAAGAACAGGGCCATCTGTATGTTGAGATATCAAACCATTGAGTAGGCGAGGGTTATCACACCTGCCTGGATCCTCTTTACCTGACCCCAAATTGTATTGTACTAAAACAAGACAAGAAAACAGCATACATGTCAGTTTTACCCATTTTGAAAATCACTCTCTCTTTGTTTATTTGTTTTTGTTTTTTCTCACATCAGTACTATCACATGCACAACTGTAATTGTTCCTGTCCGGACACTGTCTCTGAAAAAAATCTCTTTATGTCTGCTGATTCTTTCAAACCAAGTGATGAAACCTGCTTAAAATGAAGCAATCAGTCCTGTTTTATTTTGGGGGTTGGTTTGTTTGTTTTGGAGGTTCGTGTTTGCATGGTGTCCCAGGATGAGCCCAGGCTTTGGAACCTGATATCCAAATTCTAACTCAGCTACTCTATTATTGAAGTGGTCCTAGTTGATGTAAGAAACTAGCCCCGAATGACAGTGGCTTAACAAACATTTATTTATTGCTCATGTCCAGTCAAATGTGGCATTCGTGTTTGGCACAATGATTGGGGGATACAGGCAAGGCTTTGTTTCTTGAGGTTGTTCAGGGACCCAGGCTGACACAGAAGCTTTGCCATATTCAACAGGTAGTTTCTAACATCATCATGGGCATCACCATAAATGGTAGATAAGATAAGAGAAGGGATGGAGACAGTATTCAAGCTTCTTAATCTCTTTGGCCTACAAAAGACTACATCAGTTGTGTTCAGATTCTGTTGATCAGAATTCAGGAAGGTGGAAAATGTAGTTCCTGGCTGGACTGCCATTTCTCAGTAGGAGCGTCACACTACGAAAGTTGCCACAGCTACTAACTAGCTGTGTGACATTGGTGAATTTTCTTATCAATGTCATCTTTTGAGGTGCCTGTTATTTTTTACATTTTGACATCTCTCACATCAGGGTGCATATTACAAATGGTGTGTCATAATTTCACTGGCTGAATTTTTTCTTTTTGGTACATACAATATTGGCCCACTGTATAACAATTGGCATCTTAGATTTAGGAAAATGGGAATTCCAATGCCTAGTCCATAGGTTTATGGGTAGGATTAAGTAAAATAGTATATATAGATGTTATGTAAATTTTCAGCACATGTTAGATAGTAGATTTTAATTCCTATCCCTTCATTTTTATTTGGGGTTTTCTTTTCTCTATAAAATTTTGTTTTTCAATTACTGTTTACATTCAGTATTATTTTGTATTAGTTTCAGGCATACAACATAGTGGTTATACAGTCATATACTTGACAAAGTGTTCTCCCAGTATTTTCAGTACCCACCTGGCACCATACCTAGCTATTACAATATTATTGACCATATTTCCTATGCTGTGTTTTACATCCCCATAACTGTCTTGAACTACCAATCTGTACTTCTCAGTCCCTTCACCTTTTTCATATTTGGAATTCTCTTAAAACAGTACACTAATATGAAAAGGTATGACCCTCCTTTTGTTATTGTATAATTTTATCACTACAGTTAAATAGCTTAGAGTACTTTTTCATATTCCCGTGGACACTAAGATATCTCCTGTGCAGTTGTAGTCACCATCATCAAATATTCATCAAGCATCCATATGCCAATGGAACTGGATTGAGTACTGCATAAAGTAAGTTAAACAAATCTAATCCATTAAAGTATAAAGGAAACAGTTCTGGTTTTAGACAAGAGCTTCACGCCATGGAGAAGAAGCCCCAGAGCTGCTTGCATTATTAATAAGTTCTGCATTTGCTTTACATAGAAACATAAGCCCCAGGGTAACTCTCATAAATCAGGAGGAAAAAAGTTATCATTAATTTTGGAAATCCTTGCGCTCATGGATTGATATCCCATGATGTGGTTTTAATAAACTGTGCTTTGAAGTGTTTTGAAGTGTTCTATTTGTACACATTACTTAATTTGGACTCCACCAGAATGCAGAGGTCAGCTTCAGAATCACATTTTTATTAATTTGAAAAACATTTGCAAGATCTCTCATGCTCCCTGTCAGGCCTTATTTAGGAGTTAGGACAACACCAAGGAAAACATTTTCAAAATCCTGTTTTCTTTGAGAGAGGAAAAAAGGTCTAAGTCATATTGATTTCCTAAAGCAATGCCAAGGCTGACTTTCCTGGGGCTGAGTTAAAGAACACTCTTAAATACTTTTTTAGGGATGATGGAGAAAGATCGACATAATAGGGCCACAAATGTCAAAAACACAGGGGAGTAAAAGGCTCCACTTTCTATGAGCAAAAGAGAAATTATTTTTCTATCCAAACCTCCAAATAGCATGTTACTTTGTCCCCTTGTATTAGTGAAAATACTTGAGATACCTCACACCTTCCTTTTAAAAGCATAAACCATTTAGATTTTGGAAGGGGTTATGAGGGTAAGTAGTTTCAATAATAAATGTTCATTTAGCCAGTAGTGCTCTTAGCACAGAATCAGTTTGAATTTTCTTTTTTACTGCAAGTAACAGGAAAATAAAACTCAAAATGGCTTAAATGCTAACAGAAAATAATTTTCTCATTTAAGAAGTAGGCTGGAGGTAGGACCACGTCTGGGTTAGATGATTTATTGGCTTAACAAAGTCATCCGGAATCGAGGTATATTCCATCCTCTGTCTGGCTTTTCCTAAACGGACCTTGCTTGTTACAAGATGGCTGCTGCAGTTCCCGGAATCCAGACGCAAGAGGGGGAAATGCTCTTTCTCGTGGTCCTTTTGTGAGGGGGAAGAGACCTCCCCTAGAAGAGCCCTAAGCAGGCTTCCCATTACATTTTGTTGTCTATTACAAATCTGTTCCTAAGCCAACTACTGGCAAGATGAATGGAAGTGCCATCATTATCATAGACTGATCAAGATTAGTCTTTCATCTCTTGAATCACCTGATTACCCAGTATCTGAAAAACCAGCTGGCTTTTCCTAGTAATGAAGAAGGGGAGAATGACTGTTCAGTGGGCAGCCAGCAGCTTCTGGCACAGCAAATGATTAAGTATATCTAAGTATGTTTGATCTACACTGTGAAGAGCAAAAATGTTTTAAATAAAACAAATTTCCATGTATTTTTCCTACACTCCTTGCTCATTTTTGTTAGTAATGCTTCTTCCATTTCATTTTTAGAACAGTTTAAGAAGTGGCAGAATTAGTCTATTTTGTATTTCATTTAGTCTGACACTTGACCTCCCTTCAAACAGATGTGTTCATGATGAAGTACTAGTATAATTCAAATGATGGGAAAGAGGGTGAAGGGGTCTGGGTAGCACAAAAACAGTGTAAGCAACACCGAAGATATGATTTTATCTTTTTTACTGTATTTTTTTTTATCAGCAGAATTCATTTCTAAACTTAATGGAAAATTTATTTCTGTAAAGTTGATGAAAGTTTATGTATGGAAGTAAAAATTTGTATTTCCTATCAGACCTTAAAAATTTTTTAGTGTACGGCAGATGGATCTATCCAATAGAGACCATAGAAAAAGAGATTTTTAAAGATGAGTGATGAAACTAAATTATAACCGAACTTTCAAATAATGTAAGACAACTGACTAATTGGTTATAGATTCTGTGAACCTTTAAAACTGTTACACACTGTTTTATTATGAGGTTGAAATGGTTTGCCTGGAAGCTGGATGAGATCTCTTTGGGTGTTTTTAAGTTCATCTGAAAGTTCTACTATGCTTAAAACAGTACATCACTCCATTTATTGAAGTCTTACATTCTTTAGAAAAGTTTTATAACAACGTCCATGAATATCTTGTATATTTTCACTATTACTTTAAATTTTTGTTGCTGCTGTCAGAATGATTTAAAATGGAGTTTGTGATTTATTGTTGTGTGTTTAAAAAATCTATTATTCAAGTTCTATCTAGGGACCTTGCTAAACTCTTTTTAGTTCTAGTACTTTCTCATACTTGTTTTAAGTTTTCTCAGAAGACCTTCTACAAGCGACGGTTTTCCTCTACTATTTCCATCTTTATACGTCTTTCTTTTTCTTGTCCAAGTGCAATGGCTAAGACACAGAACCAGTAACACATAATGATCACCATTGTATTGCTTCTTATTTCAGTGAGAATGTTTCTAAAATTTCAGTATTGAATATCAAACTTACTATACATTTTTCATAGTTTTAAAAAGTTAAAAGAGTTCCCTTTTAGTTCTAGATTGCTAAGAGTTTTTATAATTGGATTTTAAATTTTATCAAACGTTTTTTTTTTTTTGGTATCAAAGTGATCATCTGGCTCAATTTCTCATGTGCATTGAGTATATAGTTATTTGTAGCTGATAAGATGGTAATTCAAAAATCATTTGTTATTGGCCTCAAT